GATATTTTAGCACTCATATTGTTTGGATTTATTTTATAGGCACATCAATTAATGATGGAACTAAGTCCTAGTTATGTTAAAAACCTCTTAGATGGAATATATGATGGAAGTTTGTTGTCCCCTACAAAACTAAACTACCCTTATTGACCAGCCTTCTGGGCTGCTTACTGTTCTGATCATGTGTCTCTAAAGTATTATTCTGTTCTGTAGAATACTATGTACTAATTTTTTTATGTAACCTTTATAATCTGGTGGTTTAATAAAAAATGAAACAAAAAATTATCGTTTATATTTTTCTAGAGATTGATGAAAAGAGCCGATTGGGAGTTTTAAGTTTTTTTATTCCCTTAGCTACCTGTTGTTAACACTTAATATAAGTATGAATTTTCACAAAAAGTTTTTGATGTGAATAGTTTGTTAAATACAAAGACGTTTTTAAAAAACTATCTATAAATCAAACACAAGGATTAGAGATAAGATGTGATACAGCTGGCTATTGAAGTACTTTTTTTTATAACATTGAACAGAAACAGTTTACATAATGCATACATTACATTATGTTAAGATTTCAAAAGTGTACATAAATTTTAAAAAAGTAAACTTATAAGAACTTCAAAGTAGCTCTAAACTATAAATAATAATAGTCTTGTAAATGTTAATGAATGTCTTAAATAACAGGTGTATTCACATACTTGTAGATGAAAGCAATTACTGGTAAAAGCTTACAAAGGAATACCATTTTGATAGATGGTTCTTTACAGGACAAACATTGTCTAAAACACCAAAGTTTTTGTTAAGAATCATACTGCTATTGGCCATTCACATCAGACAAAGTAACCTTTAATTTTGAAAATGAATCAATACATTTTACACACACACAAAACATTTAAATAATTTATGAAGAAAAAAATGTGTTACACCAAAATTATTATTAACACACATAACAAAACATGTTACGCATAAAAATTACATAAAAAACACATACTATGCAAATATGCCACACATTTTTTTAATATAAATTATTGATTATACAGTTGAGATAAAACGTTTACACTGTTCTATTGAAAACAATGATAATTTAATAAAATCTAATACGAAGGGGTTATGTGATAAAACATAATGGGTTGTTAACATTTAGATAAAAAAAACACTTGGAATATAAAGCATAGAAATAATGATGTTGATAACAACTTTACAATTACACTTCTGAGCAAAAAGTAAAACAGCTGATCACAAAGCAAAAAGAAATATTTACTCGCACCTGACTCACAACGCAGCTGACCAAAGGTGATGGGAATTATTAAGTGATAGTTTTGTAACACCCATGAAAGAAAATGAAACATCTTTAAAAATGTGATTTATATGTAGGTCTAACTGTTAAAACTAATACCTGCCAACTCTTCAGTTGCAGTGAAGTATGCTATCTAATTTTGAAAATCAGTGAAACAATATTTATTGAAAAAGAGATTAAACTTATCATTTTCCTTTGACAAATTACAGTTTTGAGATGGCAAAAAATAAGTCAATTACTCATCGCTACATACCCATTTGTCACAGTAAAGTTCCCTTTTCAAAGCTGACGGTCTAGGGCAAGTGAAGTAGAGTTCACTTTTTTTCTGTGACCTCGGCATATGAAGAGATAGGGTGGACTCATAGACGGTCTACTGATTTGAATCCGGATTCGAACTCAAACATTACGTTAGCAGTCCAGCTCTCAACCGCTAGACCACTCCGTCCCCTATTTGTCACAAGGATGACCACATATTGCCTATACTAAAGTGTGAGTACATAATTAGGGGAGGGGGTTGACATCCTGGTTTACCGCACCGAGTTTCAGCCGACCTAGTGACGCCACTGTTTAAAAAAAAGAGTAGGCCTATAGTATAAACCTTTGAAGATCTGGCCTGAAAACATTGAAATGTCGAGATTGACGTCCAGTACCAACACGAGTTACAGGCCTTGCGTTTACACCTGTTCAACTCAGTGGCGGAACTAGAAATCAAAGGCTCCCCCGCAAAGAAAAAAGCTAGGGCCCCATATATATATATATATATATATATATATATATATATATATATATATATATATATATGTATATTTATATACATATATATATATATATAAAAGCTATATCCTAACTGAGTAATTTAGTCTACTTCATTGCAATATATAACCATTCTGAGATATCAAAACAGAAAACATTTAGTCCAAACTCTTTTTGAGTTATAAATGTTTCCAAACATGCTGGTCAGAAATATATAAAGACATTAACTTGATTCGTGAATGGTTTCTCGCGTTATGTTTATTTTTTTCATTTTTGGCTTTTGTAATATCAATTTTGAAAACATTGATTTTTATAGCTATACTATTGTATAGTACGTCTTATTTAAATAACAATTCAGAGATTTAATTGCTTTTTAATGTACATAGTACAAAACTATTTAAATGAGCTTCGTGGGCATCCCTATTTTAAAGAAGGGCAGTAAGTCATGGAAGTAGTGTGAATGTTTACCTACCTTTCAAACTGTAGCTCTTGTAGATTTTAAAATATTTTTCTACGCAACAATCTCTGCTATAGTAGACCTGTTTTTTTTTTTTTTTTTTTTTTTACAAAACCACTTTCAAGATGCATGAAAAACATAATTTTTGAAAAAAAAAATTCATTGTTTTTTGGTCGGAACTGGGCCCCTAAACGTCATGGGCCCCCCCGCATTGCGGGGTCTGGCGGTATGGTAGTTCCGCCCCTGGTTCAACTACACTGACTGTAGACACTGAACCTACTGTAAAATTTTAAACATAGCAACATATTTCTCACTTCAAACTTATTTTACCTTCTCACTAAATTAGTAAAACAATGAACACAATCCTTTTGAACGGTAAAAAAAAATTAACTGGCCCTGAAAAGGACCTTGTTTCAGAGTCAAGATTAGGCTAATCAGATTAGCGTCTGTTCCACAATGTTGGATGCGATCGTCTGCTCTAGGATGTCTGCTTGGTGCCGGATATTTCCTTGATTTAGCTGGCTCTTTAGGCTTTCTTTTTTCGACCCGCTGCATTGTTTCGTCCTGGATCCAGGGCTGTATTTCTTTCATTCTCTGTGCACAACTCCCTGCTTCCCATAGTGTTCTGAGGTTCGTTGTTACAAAGAGCATAGCTTTCTCTTGTGGCTTCAATCTTGGTTTTCCTCGTTTGAAGAATGGGCGTCGGTTCTGTAGCTTCTGTGGTGGTTTAGTTGTATTGAGTAATACTTCTTCTAGTTGGAGTTCTTGTTCTTCCGGTAAACTGTTAACTTCAGATTTGGCTTCGGTTTCTGTAACTACTGTTTTACGTGGACGAGTAGCTAGCCCATCGAACAACCCCCAACCAGGAGGACCAGGGCACAACGTTTGGTCTGACCCCCACCCGCGCAGATCTGTCCGACTTGGTTAGACCTGCCTGGAGCACCAGCCCCCCGCCGGCATAGCTCTGGGGCTCACTGGGACACACAAGGCATCCCATCACTTCTAGGCGGCGTACCGCCACAAAAAAAAACAGTGAAGGTACACCAATAACATATCGAGGTTAGAGTTCACATCTACTTGATGGACGTGTTCATGGCTCTGTGAGATAGTCACGAAATTCCTTTGTACACCTAAGGCAAAATGGGAATTACTAGTCAACGGCGTAAATATGCCTTTACAATTCTTAGGATGGAACACTTAATACTTATCTCACAGATACACAAGAGTCATTCCAGCAGTTTCAGTTTCTGCTCATGGCCTCGATTTTCTAACGAATGAGTCTTCAATTTCACAGTAATAGACCCAGTGCGAACGCCCGAGTGGTTTCTAATTAATTAATTAATTAATTAATACATAGTTAAACGTGCTCCACATCTCGGCGTACGTACATGGGAGCCATATCCGCAGCAACAATGCATCACAAGCATATAAAATTGTTAGTTTTCTATCAACGTTTGAGCGATTTCTAGTAACCGGAAGTAGTGAGTTCACTGTATTCGGTTTCTCAAAACCTGATAATTTGAGTACAATTTAAGTTAGGTGGACGAAATTTTACATATATGTATTAAACTGAATGTTCATGTTTCTATCAACGATTTCCGGTAACCGGACCGGAAGTGGTACTTGGTAATCCCCCAGTAAAGCGTCGGTTATTATTCCAGAATGGTATAGCGCTCAGTTAAAAAAAAAAAACAGCAGAAAAACAATGGCGTAATCACGCCGTTCCGGAACCCACCGGAAGTACCGTAAACCATACTTTATTTGTCGTCATCTTTTATTTTTAAAACAAAGTTAAAAACCGGATAATTCCCGACACTATACTGGCAAAATTAAGAGCCGGGGATCGGAAGAAATAGAAGGAAATGGCGGAGGCCCTATGTTCCATATCGAGCAAAATGACTAAGTCAAGTTAAGTCCTACTGGGGAATTACCTGGTACTTTATTTCCACGTGAACATGATAACGAGCACTGTTTCAGTTAGGTAGAGTCTAAGTCTACATGAAATTTCGTCTACCTGGTAGACGGAATTTCATATAATTATTAGATCTTATACTTGGATCACTTTCAATTTTTGAGTGACCTCCGGAAGTAGTAGTTAACTTAATTTCTGGTTTCTAAAATACTGATAACTAGAGTACCGTTTCAATTAGCTGGACTAAATTTCAGAAATAGGTAAATGGTCTAATTCATTGGTTGCTGTTAAATTTAGAATGATTTCCGGTGACCAGAAGTAGTACTTGGGCTAAACTGACCTTAAAAAATATATTGTTTCCATTACAAAGTAGGCCTACTAGTTTTGCACTATAGATCTAGTATACACATATGGTTTGCGTTCATTTGGTGTGCAATTTTTATTATTTGCGATTCTATTCTAATTTAAACAACCAGGTATTTAACAAAATAATTAAAAAAACATGTATATTGTCCAAATGCACTGAACGGGAAGTGTCATAACTTTACTGTTGTATAACTTAGTATACCAAAACTATACTATACCAAAACGTTTAAGGGAGATCACTCCAACTTTATTTTTCTAGAGATGAAGTACACGGGAAAATCATGGAAAAACAATTAAATAGAACAAGAAGCAGATTGAGATTTAAAAAAAAAAAACATTATGCCAACCATTGCTTCCACACTCAACACAAGCTTTAGACCTTACATTAAAAAGCAGCACAATCACACCAACGACTACTTGTAGAAACCGCTCTTTCAGTACTAATACAAGTATAAAATGCAGAAATAATTTCTTATAAGAATAGTTGGCTAAATCAAGATGATCAAAAACAAATACTTTAAAAACAGTGGATTATCAATCAAGTATACATTAACTTTTAAACATCAAAAACTTGATACACTTGGTTGTTAAATTACAAATTTTTTAACATTGAACTGTTAACATAAATGTACTTAAATATATGCATTGTGTAAAAATGTCTAAAATGCTCATCAATGAAAAACAAAGTTTTATGTAATACTTTTAAGTCAGCTCTAAACAAAACAATAGTTCTGTAATGTGTAATGAATGGCATAATTAACACATGTATTCATGTATCTGTCGACAATATGTAATTATTATACAGGAACTGTAATGTAGCCACTGAGAAAAATCTACTTCCTCACAGGCCAAACATTGTTCAAAACATACCTAATTTTTAATCTATTGAGCTTACATAAAAGCTAGACAAAATCATAATGCAACATCTCACAGACTACTACTTTTCACTTTTAAAACCTAATCATTACCTGTATTTCACACACACACACACAATATTAAAATTGCTACACATGAATTTTAAAACAAATTATAACATTTGATTACATATAGAAATCTTACAAAGGAAAATAGGTTTTAAACTGCTCTATTTGAAACATATATTATGATAATTATAAAAATCCAAAATCTATAGCTCTTACAAAAATTACATTAAGAGGGATAATACTACTAAGAAATATAATAAAAAACTTGGAATGTAGAATATGGAGTAAATCATAACAATCAACATAATTTTACAAGTACATATTTTCTGAACAAAGGTAAAAAACAAAGATAAATATTTAAACAGACACCTGACACACAATGAAGCTGACCAGAGACAGATGAATTGCTCAATAAGACCGACAATAACTTTCAACAATGAAGGGTGAAATTTTTAACTAGCCAGTGAGAAATTGAAACACATCTATAAAAAATACTTTTTGTACATAACTGTTGAAACAGACACCTGCTAACTTTACAATCTTTTGATTACAGTGAACTATAACATTATTTTTAAAAACTAAAATCATTTCAGAAGTAAAAATAAATGTTGTCTCATGCTTTTGAGTTTTTATTTTGTCACTAAAATTATATAAAATAATTCTGATTCTTAAATTATAAGATATTTGTTTATCACTGGGCAAAGATTTTGAAATATTTAAAAATATTGATACCTTACATTTTTGTCATCAAATTTAGAAAATCATTGAATCAATATTGATAAAAAAGGATGAAATGTTTAAAAAAAAACTTCTGTACACAAATTTATCTTTTGGGATAGCAAAAGAATAAATCATATTAATAATTGTAGCCTAACACTTTGGGATAGTAAAAATACATAGGATGTAAAATTTATCCTTAGGAACAATGAATTTAAACTAATGTCAGTAAGATGTAAATTATCCTAGAACAACATTCATCATAAATTTTGTTTAACAATACTGGAGAAGTCTCCAGCATAGAAGAGCACCTCCTGCCACATAGCCTTCATGTAAACCCTGAAGATGTAGAACACAGTGATGAAGTCGGTGGTGCTGGTGATGGAGTCCGCCAGTGCAAAAAACAAAGTCGATGGAATAAAACCTCTGCCGTACTCCACCATCCACGTCCCAGAGGTCCAGGACACAGCAGTGGCTTCACCCACACCATGAAATACAGTGTCACCTGGACAGAAAAATAATTTAGAAGAACATTTGTCTTTATAATATGTCAGGACAAAATGTAAAATTGAGCAAACATTTGACTAAAAAATATATAGCTACATAAATAATGGCATTCAATAGAAAACTATACAACAATGATGCCACAGAGATTTAGATTGTTACAAGAAATGGAGAAATGCTTTTATATTTTGACTTCTCGGAGAAATGCTTTTATATTTTGACTTCTCTACGGCTGAAAAAAAATGTTTAAATTTAATTTGAGACATTATTTACAAATTATGCAAACAAAATGCCCATCTAATAATGAAATAGATGCTTTTATATTTTGATTTCTAATCTGCTGGGAAAAAAAAATTAAATTTAAATTGTGACAATTATTTACAAACAAAATGCCCATTTAAAAATTGATGCCGTTTCCAACATGGAAGGTTTGAACCATTTACAATTAGACACTGACATATTATTAGATTGTAATTCATCTTCAAGTTTCTGCATGTAATACCACTTTAAAAATTATGTTGTGCAAATTAAATCTTTTATCTTTATGACAATAAGCTTGTTTAATTTTTATAACATTTTAAAGTTGAAATAAAAATTCTCTTTAGTATGTTACAGATTCTTTTGATGTGCATTATATTTTATTTGAACAAACTTTTGCAATTATCTATTTTTTGGCTTTATAAAGTACTGCTGTGAGCACTTTTAACTTCCAAAATACTTTTAAGAGTCTAAATGGTCTAAAACTCCAAGTTTTGAGTACAAACTTTAACTGATGAGTAATTTCTACACTTTAAAGTAAAGTTTATAGATTCTAAGCATTTTAGTATAAAGTTTAACACGGGTAAAGATCTCACCTGGTTTATAGACCACTCTATTCAAGGCCCCTTCTTGCCATTGATAGAAGTTTCCAGTCAGAATTGTATCCGATATATTAGCCCAGTAGCGACCTATTTAGAGATATTATTAAACTATATGATGCATAGATTTGGCACAATTTACTGATTGTATATTATCCATACATGCATTGCTCTATCTAGTATTGCAAATAATACTTAAACCCTAAACCATACAACCAAAAAAAATTCACTTAACATAACTAAGAGTGTTCACTCAATTTTAAATTTAAATTTGGTTTAAAAATCTTGATAACACATTAAACCTTGAAAAAGTAATTGTACAAATACGGCATACTGTTAAGTAGTATATGGTCTACGATTTGTTATTGGTGAGCAGAAAATTTAGCAAAAAAAGTGCTCAAACAGAAAGTTGCATACACAGAAAGATGAGCAAAGAGAGATTTTTGCACACATAAAAATGTGCACAAATATAAAAGCTTGAAATGAAAAATGTTGAAATAAAAAATTGCTCTCACAGTTAGTTCCAGTGTGTTTGAGTTTGTATGTTTCTGTGTGTAGGCCTATACAATATGTATTTTTATCAGTTATACAAGTATTACAAGCAAAACAAATCAACCCAGATTCTATATTTAGATGAGAACCCAGCATGCCTAACATTGAGCTAGACAGTTTAGCTTGATCATTCACCTGAGTGTCCACTTGTGTCAACAGCTGTGCCAAAGAACAGAACATATTCTGTCAGTGATGCGTGAAGTAGACACATACTTCCCATCCACCCACCAGCATTCATAAACACCCACTGCAAACCGTCATCAGGAAGGATGTGCCCTGCATACTTTGCCCTGAGATCAGCCAAAACTTTTGAGTAGGCATAAGAAATGTTCTTGTTCAAAGCATTATCTGAAAGAAACAAGCAAATGTTTTGATTTTATTATAGGCTTTTAAAATAATGGATTATTGCTATTATTCTGAATTAGCAAGGAGTTCATATTAGTTTATAAGCATTTCATTTAAAAACATTATATTATTATTACAATATTAAGACTTAAGACTACTTAAATAACTTATTAACTATAAACTTAATATAACTAGTATTAGTTAAGAAAGGCAATGTCATTCAATGTAAGAGCCAAACTTAATTCTAACTAAGATACTAAGACTAACTCTAAGACCAAGACGCCAAGAGCTAGTTTAGAATTTAGATAATAAAGTTCTAGAAATCTAGATCTTAATTATAATTAAAGAGTAAGGTCATTCACAAGAACTAAAAAAGTTAAAGTAGTATTAAAGTTAAAGACTTAAATTAAAGACTTACCAACATGTTTGCGGGAAATTGCGGCAATACTTTTCTCATCAAAAACGTAACTTTTATTATTTAGCCAATAATTTATAGAACAAATAAATATTAAAATTATAACAGACCATTTGAATGCCTTTCTTAAAACCGATAAGAGCATATTTGCCATATTATATTAATAATCTTAATAGGCTTATGCCTATTATATTATTAATAATAATTTAATACACTATCTCGGTACTGTAGGCCTAATGATGAAAAAGCGAATAAGGGCAGCTACTCTGAAAAAATCTAAAACCGAAAATGAACAAACTACGGAATGACTGGTGAAGGTACTCTGAAATTTTTTAAATAGGCCTAGATCTAGATCTACACTTAATTTTAAAATGGAGAAAGTAATCAACATAAGTTAAAATGTGCTTAAAAAACACCAGGATTCTAGATCTAGAATAATCTAGATCTATAAAATATTTCGCATACTTGGAAAGTGTTGAAATAAAATATATACTGTGTGATTTTAGGGCTAAGTAATTCATGCTTTTTTTTGTTAATTTTGACAAATTAGGCTAATCGAAACAAAATTCGCAACATAGAAATATACAAAAAACGAAATATATATTATAAATCTAGATTCTAGTTCTACGAACAAATGTAGTAATATCTTTGCAGTTTTCCTTCAAAAGCTTTGCAAGTGTAAAATGTATCTTTGATTAATATGCAGAATATATCCCATGAAAGTCCGCTGAGATTTTCCGCAAGTTTAACCCTATGTTAAAGTTTTTTTGATCATCATCATAATAAAATATTCATCATCAATGACTATGACATCATGCATGCCATGAATTGCTCATGGTCAATGTGACATTTTATGATTTTTAATGATTTTTTTTTACTTTATAATTTAGTGACAATCATCAATGAATGATTCATGATTGATGGTCATATTGTAGAAATTACTTTAAAATACTTAGCCGCATAGCTATGGCCTATTGCCATTAATTATAATAATTACCCATTGGCTATAATATACTATATTAAAAACTGTATTTAAACATTAGGGAGAATTTTTATACCGGTGTCCGATAATGGAATCTTCTTTTAAAAAAGGGGTGTTTGTTAGGTTACTGACTGGTAGTTAAATAAATACACGCATGGCTGGCTAATGTCAATGCTAACCTGACCCCAACCCTGGTCCTACCATATACGCCTAACCCTAATTTCTAACCATAAAATTAGTCGAGATTAAAATACTGTCAATACTACTAACAACCCAACACATCTTTTTTAAAAGAAGATTCCATTATCGGACATCGGTATCTATAATCATCCAAATAGGCCTAATCCTATAGTTGTATATTATTGTTATTTTTTAATTATTAATTAGTAATAATTAGCCCTAAGTTATAACTTATCGAGGTTGCTTGATAAATCATTAAATTTACTCCCACCTCTAAAATCAACCAGTTGCATGATATATTATTATATAGGCCTAGGCCTATCAGTTAATGATAATTGATATCCTTGCTAAATTTTAAATAATGGAATCGGCTTGCTTTTATACTAGTTTTAGTGATAAACACTTTAAAATTTGGTCCATAAACTGCCAATATTTTTTCTTATACAAGGTTTATCACAGTTGTTTAAAAAAACTGCTATTTTGTTATGAAAAAAGAATAATCTCATTTTCTTTTTATCGTCATATTTTCTAAATTCAAATCAACTTTGTAATCAATATATTGTTTTAGTATAATTTAATTTAGCATACTATGCATACTTTATTTTTCAAGACGCTGATTCTTTTCTCCTTTACAGAAAATGTTTCCTGTCGTAATGTTCGCAAGTGCATAAACCATCAACAATGCTGAGAAATGCCAAGCCACGTTCTTTTAAATATTCAAAAAGTTTATCTCAGTCAGGACCTCATCAGCCTCATACAGATGCAAGTGCAAGCCTTATAAAATGTGAGTGGCCCCTGCTTAAACCAGTATCTACATGTTGTAGCTTGATAAACAAAAACAAACCTTCTAGTGTGATCTGTAATGTGTTAACAAAAAACTCAAAACAAAGGAGGCAACTCTGTCATTCTTTAACAAGTTATTCAGACCAACCTGTTAGAAATTCTTTGTTTACTAAACCACAAATGATGAGTGTCTGTAATCAGATGTCACGTCTTTCATCCTTGTGCTTTCATAGTGATTGTGAACAGTCTATTGTTATCAAATCAAATAACATCCAGCTAAATAACAGTGATGCACATTCAAAACCAGATCAATTTGTTGAACAAATTGATTGCTGCGTCACGCCTGGTCATCTTCTAAATGAAGTCGAGGCAAATTTGAACAGTGGTAACTTTTCTTTTAACCAACTACCATTTGTCATTGCAAAATTTAAAAAGCTAGTTTACAAAAGTTTGGATATGCCATGGATGATTGCTGAAGAAAAATGGAAGAAAAAGCAGTTGGAATTCAATTTTTTATCTCACCAATTGCTAGGTTCATACATTTCTGACCCAAGATTTGAAAATATTCTTGCATTAACAGAAGAGAATATTAATAACCTTTCTCTAGATGATTGCCTTCAAGTTTTCTATGATTTAAATTTCTTACTGCTGTCTGCTTCCCACCCGCTTAATGAAAAACTTTATTGCATTTGTGCAGAGAAAATTGGAGACTTCGATTTTCATCAACTAGCTTTATTTACTGAATGTATTCCAACAAGCCCTCCAGATTATTTAACCATGGGTAAAGTAACTAACAGAACTAAAATATTATTAACAACACAGCATGTTGAAAACATAGATTTATCTGACTTATGTGAGATTTTGTACAATCTGAAACATGTTATTAGTTCTGATATGTTTAGGCTTAGTGCAGAAGTATTGCTTGCAAAATTTGAAATGGATGCGGAACACATGACCCTGGATGACATTAGCAAAATATGTTTTTTTGCTAGTATACCAGGCAACGATTCACTAGAGATTTTGTCAAACTGGATCATGAGCTTACCAAAAAACTCATGTCAGCATGTTATTATTGACAAATCAACATTCACTTTTGATGTGGCAACAGCAATTGGCTCTGCCACCTGGATTTGTCCTATTCTTAAAGAAATACAAGCATTTTGTTCCGAGGGCCTTCAACATGTGGACAAATTATCCAATCACGAAGTCGCGAAAATGGTCATCATCAACACTAAGTTCTCACCAGAAGAGCAGCAGATGATGCTTCCGGCCATCTGCCAATGCATAGAGGAGTCTGATACAGTGCTGCTTAAAGAGGTAAGACGAATAAGAACTGTTTCATTTAGCATCTCATTGATTTATCTACTTATTTTGTTTCCTCTAATATCAGGCCTATCAATATTCATCAAATAATGGTCCATTTGTATACTGTGTTTAATTTAAAAAACAAAAAAAATTCTAATCAACAAAATGATAGGATAGTGTTTGATAATGTTATTCTACTTGCAATTTGTATAATTTTTAATCACATTTACAAGATTTCTGCGTTAAATATTATTCATAAAATCAAAGCAAAGATGTCTAAGGATTAAGTATAAATATGATTTTCTCTTATGAATTAAATTAAGATTTTCCTTTAATTTTTAAATTGACTTGCAATTTGCATACCTTTATTGACAGCCTTTTTATTCTAATGCAGGGGTCGGCAACTTTTTGAAGCGGAAGAGCCAAAAGTTACAATTTTCAAAATTTCCCTGGTTTTAAAGAGTCACTAACATTTTTTTATTTCAAATATTTTATTTTTTTATTAAGATTATTAGTATTTGTTCAAGGAGCTGGAGAGCCGCATCTTGATATCAAAAGAGTGCAGCTCGCGAGCCGCAGGTTGCCGACCCCTGTTCTAATGGACTTCAACCTTTTGATTTTTAGACAAAGATACTATTTGAGGATAATTATAATAACCATGACCTACAACTCCTATATCTGAAAAAGACATGTTTCTCATTATGCAGCTGTTGCTAGCCCATGTAAAACAAGTGAACTTAAACCCAACAGTGATGGCAAGCTATCAGGAAAGATTGTCCAGACTGGTAGCCCAGCTAGACTCTGAGCAGTTGAACAAGCTTCTGTTGTTGCATGATGATGGCGATTTAGCTTTTTTAATCTATGTCTATATCAGACGAGTAAGTGTTGTATTTGATCCAAAGTTTCAGAATATACTTAACTGTTACTTAGAATTAAGATGTATTTGTGAAATAGTTTTAATTGGCATTTGTCTTTGGGTATAGATGATAAACGCAAATACTGTTTATTGAATACCTTGCAATATCTTGTTTATATACTGAATTGTTTTGTAGTATATTATGTCTGGCATAACTCCTTTTAGCTATAGTTGCTGAGTAATGCTATAATAATTTGTATCAATGAATAATGAATATTTTTTTGTATCAGCTGTTACTTGATTTTGACTACTATTGGCTTTTTTTTTTTGTCAAAAAAAAAAAAAGAAATTCCTTACACAAAATTTAATTTGAAAACAAATTTCAGAACCTATTTTAAGTGAAAAAAACTGTGTATCAATAGTAAATTTTTTTCTCTGTTTTTCATAAATCAGATTTCATATCTCAAAATTCCATTGCACAAAAGCTTGTCTGCTCTTTGTGATAAGCTGTGCAGTGTTAGAGGCGATGAATGGGACGTGCCAAGGGTCAAAGTTCAATTAGCAGTTATCCGCTACGCTGACCTGGTCAGAGCCGGCAGCAAGTCTGGGAGTAACATCCACTTTATTCTGAAGTTTCTTGGTCGTCTGGGCGCTGATGATCTCATGTCCTTATATGGAAGTCTCGCATCCCTCTTTTTTATTGTGAGTATTTCTTGTTGAATTACATTGATGTTTATAATAAAATAAACCGGGAGTGATCTCCCCTAAACTTTCTCGAATATTCTAATATAACACTACGGGGGATGGCAACTCGGGATATAGACTTCTAGACATGATTTTTAATCCATTTTAAATACTCAAATTTGAAAAAATAGAATATAATCTCGTAGAAAAAAGAAATACACACCAAGTGAACGCTAAATAAAGATGTGCATAATAGTGCGCAATATTATTAGTCATTTATAAATTTACATGCGTTTTTTGAGAAATTGGAAATAGCGTAAATAAGTACTTCCGGTCAACGGAAATTACTCAAAATTTGACAGAAGGTAGAGAATTAGATCTTCTACTTACATATCAAATTTCATTTATCTATCTGAAATAGTACTAAAGTTATAGGCTTTTGAAAAATTCAAAGTAGAAAAAGTACCACTTCCGGTTATCGGAAATCGCTCAAAAGTTGATACGGATCTACGATTTTGATAAAATACTTATATATGAAATTTCATCAACCTAGCTGTAATGGTACTCAAGTTATCGTGTTTACACACGGACACACACACACACACACAGACAGACGTATGGACAAGATTGCAAAATTATGTTTTTCCGTATCATGAGTGAGATGTAAAACGTCGAGATTTGCAAAAATCTCGATTTTTTTTTTTTGCACGATTACAAGACTTTCTCTATACTTCGTATATACGAGAAAGTAAAAATCATGCAATTCTTTGGATAAATATGCTGTTTACTTGTTTTGAAATAATTTTAAGTGAAGACTTCCATTCTACTTACACAAGATTGAGTTCTATTCACCCTGTATAGTAGTACACAAATGCTTTTTTTTTTTATTATTACTTATGACATTATGCAAGCAAAAACACACAATTATGACACAGTATTGAGAATTTTAACATCACCCAAAAATGGATTTCCTTTTTCTCAAAAGTAGAAAAGTGGACAACTATTGTTTTACCACCGTATGTTGTGGTTGTTGGGTTGTTTGCAACAAATCTAAATTAATTTATCATCTGTGCCCAAGAAAATGGGGCAAATTAAGTAGAGTTCATCTGTTTCACTGACGTCAGCATTTGAGGGGATAGCGTGGTCAGTACTACACCCGACTGTCTTTGTTTCCCTAAAGTGAGTGAGGCTCCCATTAGAGCTGGGTTCACCTCAACTTTAATCCAGGATTCAAACTCGAGACTATCAGGTTAGCAATTGAAGGGCTCAGTGGAAAAAGCACTAAAGTTACATTTTTTCAAAAATGAGTTAAGACCTGTATATTATTTGATTACCTCCCCTTAACCATCCCTGTAAATTTGGGCCATGGAAAAAGTACCGAAGTAGATAATTCGAATACTTTCCATCAGCTGTTTTGGTATTTCAGCTTCAATTTAAAAACTTTGCACTCATTTTTCTCAAAACTCTCAAAATACACTTAAGTACTTTTTCCACTGAGCCCTTCAATTGTAAGCTCTATCATGCGACCAAGGTGTTTTATTATAATTAATTTATATTTTACTTGATTTTTTCCTGTTGAAACTACCCAGCCCGGTCAGCACTACACAGTGAAACAAGGAACCATGCTGATGCAAGCTAAAGCCAAAGCAATCTTCAATGAGCGCCTGACCTCTTCACCTCACCTGCCCAAATCGCTGACATCCCTGAAAATCCTGAGCTTGATACCGCCTGGTAAGCTGTATCTGCTGAAGGACCTCGTGCTGCACCTGGATAAGTTTACCACAGACATGGATGAGACCAAGGTCCTCAAGGTGCTGAGGATTCTAGAACTTTCAACAGAAAAAATTCATTTTTATCACGTATGTGTGATTTTTTTTTTAATCATCTATTTGGAGTTAAAAATACTATTATTATTGTGTTCAGCTGCTCTTACTTAAGTCATAAAATATTTATGTACAAAATATTTAGCAAAATCATTAAAGCCACACACAATTTTAGGATAAATAGCAAATGTGCTTGCGTTTCATACAAGTAATAGATAGAAAGTAATAAAGAGAATGAGAATATTAACTAGTAAGGCTGCTCTAACTTGATTATTTGATGGTATTTAGGAAGGTTTGAGAAATACGATAACAATGCAAGATTATCTAATTTTTTATTTAATTAGTTACTACATGAGTAGTAAAAGGTTAACATAAAGATTGCTTCACTCAGTAATTAAAGAGAAATAACAACCAAATTAATCTCGACTGATTACTCAATCAGCCTATTTACAATGATGAACTGTTAGTCAATGAGGGCTGGTTGTAACAACGGATGTTAGGAAGGGGAGATAACTGTCTTTTAGAGGTTGCAAGCTACTGATCAGGTTTACCGCCAATTTTGTTACCTGTAGCCTAAGTGGTGTCAACTTTATTGAATGAATTACTAAAAAGTGGAAAGTAAAATATATATAAGAATCTTAATGATAATAATAAGCTTAAAAATGCACTGAAAATAAGAAAATAAGCTTATTGACTTTCTTTAATAAAAACATTTGTCGCTCTTTAAAGACCTGTTTTATATTTTTGAGCAACCATTTAGCGAGTTCAAATCTAGATTATGAACTGGCCTTTGTTGTTTGAGCCTTACTGTGGCTTGGCAGCTTGTGTACTCTGACAAAATCTAGCACCCTGGTCCTTGTGGTTGGGAGTTTAACAGAAGGCCAGCAACCGTATATCACAAGAAAGAATGACACATCATCCAAATGCTTGGTCTAGCATCTTTATTATGGCTGTCATGGTAGAGATTAAGCATGTATCTGAAAACTAAATGTGAAGCTTGTCTTTACGCCTAACTTATCATAAACCTTGTCTTTGTTTTATTTCAATAGCCTATACTAAACTTTTTCTTCATTCAGAAAGAAATGTTTGAGAACCTCATCAACTTCCTAATGAACTGCCCCAAATGTTTTGTCCTGCCAAGCCTTCAGCTACTGAAAACACTGAGTTATTCTGGATACACCCCAGAAAACATAGATCCTTTCAAGCTGTGGATCCACAAGCTCTTGACTCAAGTTTTTCAACAAGACCTTGGTTTTAAATACATACAAGTAAATAGTTTTTTATTTATTTATTTGTTGTTTTTTTTTTTTTTTTTGTTTTTTTTTTACAGAAGTTTGATTGACCTACAGTATTTTAACATGGATTTTGTAGGTTTAGAGATATGGTCAGAGCAGCAAAATTTACAAAAATAAAGCTTTGATGCAACAAGCTAAGAATTTTTTTTACATAGTTGGAATGTTTGAAATGCATTGTTTCTATTGGTTTTTTTCCCTGGAAATGGTTAAGCACTCTTTTGTGTTTTAGATTAGATTCTCAAATTGTTACAGGGCAGACACAACCTGTAAGTTATCATCAAAGTGCTTTGTTCTTTTTGTTTTATTTTCTATAACTTTTTAAACTGAAATCTATTTTATAAGCTTTTACTTAGGGGTCGACGTGGTTGAGCCGGTAAAGCTCATGGTTACTAAACCGAATAGTCACAAGTTCGAACTCTCGGGCAGATGAGGCTCGTTAGCTGTGGACAGCCACTCTTCTAGGAGAGACAACTCCAAAATCACACAACTGCTGCCTTGTAGTTTGTTCTTGGTTGGACAAAGGCTATGAAAACAAATCCAAAAAGAAAAGCAGGCTGAAATCGGAGTCAATGGCTCATAACAAGTTGACACGTAAACTTAATTGGGTTGGAGGCGTGGACGATTCGGCAAAGCTCATGGTTGTTAACATTTTTAAAAGTCACCAGTTCGAACCCTCTGCCTCTGGCAGAAAAGGTTCAATCCCTTCCAATACTACAAATTAAGAACAAAGAAGAAGCTTTTACTTAGGTTACAATGTCTGAGACTTTGTTGGTTTGTGTAAATCTTGTTACCCAAATTTGACCTACTTTTTCATCAATATTAATTCAAATCTGACGACAATGCAAAAATTTCAAATCTAGGTATTAAATATTTAAGTCAATAAAAATTAATTTTAAGGTTACCATATTCATTAACAAAAGGGAAGATAAAAATATTAATTAAAAAATGATCAATAGGGTGATCTGGATTCATACTTGAGAACTGACAATGGAGAGATAAAGCTAGAGTCTGGTCAGGATTTTTTTAAATAATTCAATTAAGGGGATTGGGGGGAGGGAGGTGCAGTATTAAAATTAACCACAAATGAATAAATAATTATGGTGCTAATGGAGTCTCAAAATGATGTATAAAATATTTTTTAAATCTGGTGTGATGTTATTAAAATAAATATGGTTATTAAAACCTGACTGTTTGGTTTTTGACGGACTTTAAATTGTAAGGTTGAATGTATTTAATGTAATAGTATTTTCTGTAACTAAACACCATTTTTTTATAAAAGCCAAAAACACTTTAGTCGCCTACATTTTATCGCACAAAATAAATGGCTGCTCTAGGTTATGTGGCTTTAAAAAAAAAGAATTTTATTTAAAAACTGTATTAGCTGAGTTACTGTGGTGAGCTTTTTATGAAGTGTGATTTCAGAATATCACCGAGTTGATGTACAGCCAATCAATGTTTGTCTTCTGGAAGTGTAACTTTAGGTTATAACTTAGTTAGGCTTGATAAAGATCAATAGAAATGCAATCTTAAACTCAAAAAGTAATTTTCATATTCTTTTGATTTGCAACTTTTATAACATGGATTCTAAAAATATTAAATTTCTGAACTTTTTTTTGGTTTTTTTTTTTTTACAATTGCTTGTATTATATGCATTTCAAAAGAGGTTGTAAATATAAAGTTATAATTTCTGTTTTTTAGCTGGAACTGATCTACTGTCTTTCAATCATGGGGATATATTTTGATGACCTTCTCAGCAATGTTTTTACTCTGAACTTTATTTCTGAACTGGAGAAAGATTTGTTAGGTAAGCCAAAATATTTTAATTTTTTTGTTGTAACATGATTTAGTTGTTTAGATGTTGACATTATTTTCAGACATGCTTGAAGAAAAGTGACTTTTTAATTATAATTAATGCTGTTGATCCAATTTTTATTATAGATACCACTCTTTTTATGACATCCTAAACAACATAAATTTACATATATGTGTACCAGAAAGCTAAAATCTGAAACAAATGTGACCTGGCGTGTGTTAATAGTAATTGCAAAAATGGTGGGGGGCTTAAACCTGGGTGGTAAATATATTAGTAAGTAAAACAGTCTTTCAGCCCTTAAGTTGAATTTGGCATTTGAAGCGACTGCTTGCTCAGCCACCTGTACATCATATGCGCTCTAACCTGGAAAATTAACTTCAAACCTTTGTGATAGCAATACATGCTTTACCACATGACCATGCCATTCTACATGGCTCAAGGATTTTTTTAATTGAAATATAGAGATGGTGAATTTTTTATTTATTATGTCATTGGTTTTTTTAAAAAAAACTTCCACCTCGATGATATGATTTTGACAATTTTTCAGTATTAACAACTGTAAAAGCCAACAAGATAAGGTCGCACCTGATTGAGCTGAGTTCTAGTATTGCCATAGAATGTCCACAGCTGTCCTTCCCAGTCTTTAGTAAACTATTAACACCAAAAGGTCAGAGGTTATTTTATTTTTTTGTTTTACCATAATTAATTCACAGTACTTTGTTACTTTGAAACCTGAATTCCTAAATAATTGTATATTTAAACCACATTCACAGGGATGGTGTTCTGCTACATCACATAATATACGTCACTCAAAAGATTACCAAAAGTGCACTTTTTACCTTTTCATTCAGACTTCTTCTTCGTTCTTAATTATTAGTGTTGAAGGGGATCGAGATTTATCTGCCAGTGGGTTTGAACTCGAGACTTTGTTAGAATTTATCAACCATGAGCTTTTTGCTGACTCGACCACGCCTTCAACACAATTAAGCGGTACGTTCAACTGGTTGTGCGCCATTGAGGCCATTGACTCCGATTTCAGCCTGCTTTTTTTTTGGATTTGCTTCCATAGCTTTTGTCCAACTAAGAACAAACTACAAGGCAGCAGTTGTTTAATTTTGGAGTTGTCTCTCCTAGAAGAGTGGCTGTCCCCAGCTAACGAGTCTCATCTGCCCGAGGGTTCGAACTCGAGACTTTTCGGTTTAGCAACCATGAGCTTTACCGACTCGACCACGCCGACCCCCACTTCATTCAGACTATGTAACAGACATTTTGTTTTTGTCTCTGTAGAAGTTGAAGAAGCTCCTGTTGTAAGGGAAGGAAAAATCATAGCCAGTCTTCACAGAGTGTGTGAGGGAAAAGAGTTTGTCAAGTCTCCTACCACAAGTCCGTATGGTCACAACATAGGTCTGTAAATTTTGTTTGATTATAGATTATTACTCTACTTTGATGTACATTTTTTTCTGTGTTTCATCTGGATACTGGTGAGCTTTCCCCATACACTGTGGAAGTAACATTATGTTTCCACCTTTTTACCTCATATATGTTGAACAAAACCAAATATTTTATTGACTGATAAAATAATCAGTGACTGTGAACTTTGTTGTTGTTTAGGGTTTAAAGTCTATTGTTAATCTTGAGATTACTACATCACAGACTATATTTTAAACATGTTTTTTATTGGATTACCTGGACCTTGTTTTATTTTGCTCCCTTGCACTTTTAATTTCATTTTTTTTGTTTGTTAGTTATATGTTTTTGTTTTAAAGTGTTAACTTCATCCAATGTCCATATTATACAAAATGCTTAAGATATAACTAATTTCTTTAAATTTAATTCATTATCCTAATATATAAAAGGCCATGTGCGCTCTTCTCTCTCTCTCTCTGTCTGTCCGCAAAATATTTTCGCCGGACATCACGTCAGAAACGTCAGCGATATATGGAGAACTTTATACTGACTTTTGTTGAAAATAATATGTTAGATGTTTTAAATGTATAACCACAATTTTATTTAAAGAAGAAAATAAAGGCGTATTCGAATGTAGAAAAACAATTTTATTTATGCAATCGGAAAAGCATTAATAGATGTGAAAAAGAACGCATAAAACTGTGACGTCACTATTGCTTATACATTAACTAATGACGACATCTGCTGTGTTTAGAATAAAAAGAAATGAACTATTTCATTCAAATTTGATTTAGATCTACGAACACTATGAAATGTATACAATACAATTTTTCTGGCCTAAACTCATAAAATTTATTTTATTTATTTGGATTCTAGATCTAGATATTCTAGATCTAGACTAGATCTAAATCTAAGCAATAACTAGACGTAGACGCAAAGATCTAGATTTAGACTCTAATTACTCTAGAACTATTCCAAAAATAAATTTCTATATTAGGACTAAACTATTTCAAGACTTAATTATGTTATACAAAATCTTTGTTTGGAACTGGCTTATTTGGGATAAAAAAATTAATTTGAAAGAATAGGCATATTCGCTTAAGTTAAGATTTTAAAATACGTCTTTCATTCTCCGAGTTTTGTAAGATGCCTTAATAGCTGAGATGATAGTGTACTTAAAACCACGCAGGTGGTGCGGGTTTGACACACACCAAGTCATACTTGGTTTTTTATTTTTTTTATTTTGCTCGGGCTAAACTTAAAAAAAAATTCTATTAGGATTCTAGATCTAGATATTCTAGATCATCTAGATCTAGAGATTCTAGATCATCTAAATCATCTAGATCTAGAGATTCTAGATCATCTAGATCTAGAGATTCTAGATCATCTAGATCTAGAGATTCTAGATCATCTAGATCTAGATGATCTAGATCTACGGAAAAACTAGACTTACACAGATGTAGACCCTACCTAGATCTAGAATCTATTCAAATAATACATTTCTATACTAAAGTATTTCAGGGCTTAATTACTTTATTGAAATCTTTGTTTATCTATGCAATTTGCTAATGTCTATAATATATAAAGCAAAGTTGTCAGGTGCCCGATAGGGCACTTCCCGGCGCCGCAAGCGCTTCAAATTTGGCAGGATCTTGCCTTGGGGCGACAGAACATGGGGGCTGGTTGGCCGAAAAGTCTACGATGATGGGGTCAAAACTGACCTCGACTGACCGGCGCCTTATATGAGCTATGAATCGAAAAAAAATGTCCACGGAGGAACCTCTTCATAACTCCTGAGGTCGGGCGAATTAATTAAGCATTCAAATTCTCAATGTTTTCGAAAGCCTAAGCGAAGCTGGGCAGCATGCCTAGCTTTATATATAAATCCCATGTAAAGGGGAAAATATTTTGTGTGTGCTCCTTATAGATGCTCTCCTGTGCTTTGACTCCAACAAGACTTTGGTTAAGCCAGCTGATGTGTTGCAAGAACCACATGGGCTCTTGAATGTTGAAAGGTATAGTATAGCTAAATGTATAAAAATTAAACAATTTTCAGAAGATTGTTAGAATTTTCTCCCCTGAAATTAACATGTAACGAAATTATCTCCCTTGGTATTTTGTCTATACAGCTGCTTTTAGAACAGTAGTAAAATATCTGAAAACTAGAAACATTTTTTCAAACATCAGCAATAATACTTATTAATATTAGATTTAAAATTTAATAACTAATGATTTTTTTTTTAATGGGGCATACTTTTTTTTGTTGTCTATTACGTCATTATGTACATGTGACTTGAACACAACTTATGTAACAAGTGCTATGGGTGAAACAATGATTCCAGCTCTGTTTTAAATTCTGTCTCAAGGAGTAACTCTGAAATACTTCTCTCCACAGGATAGCAGTGATCTACCTTGCCCCAAGTGATTTCTGTTTGGATAATGAGCACATCACTGGATTCAGGTTGAGTTCCATCCGCCAACTGGAGATATTGGGATATTATGTGATAATGGTAAGGTCACTTTGGTGGGTTGGGGTTGTAGGGAGGGTAAAGGTCACTTTGTTAGGGTGGGGTTGTAGGAAGGGTAAAGGTCACTTTGTTAGGGTGGGGTTGTAGGGAGGTTAAAGGTCACTTCAGTTAGGGTGGGGTTGTAGGGAGGGTAAAGGTCACTTTGTTATGGTGGGATTGTAGGGAGGGTGAAGGTCATTTTGGTTAGGGTGGGGTTGTAGGGAGGGTAAAGGTCACTTTGTTAGGGTGGGGTTGTAGGGAGGGTGAAGGTCATTTTGGTTAGGGTGGGCTTGTAGGGAGGGTAAAGGTCACTTTGTTAGGGTGGGGTTGTAGGGAGGGTAAAGGCCATTTTGGTAGGGTGGGGTTGTAGGGAGGGTAAAGGTCACTTTGGTAGGATGAGGTAGTAGGAAGGGTAAAGGTCACTTTGGTTAGGGTGGGGTTGTAGGGAGGGTAAAGGTCACTTTGGTTAGGGTGTGGTTGTAGGGAGGGTAAAGGTCACTTTGGTAGGGTGGGAAGGGTAAAGGTCACTTTGGTTAGGGTGGGGTTGTAGGGAGCGTAAAGGTCATTTTGGTTAGGGTGGGGTTGTAGGGAGGGCAAAGGTCAATTGTCATTTTGGTAGGTGGGGGTTGGATGAGGTAAATATTATTTTTGTTAGATGGGGCAGTATTTAATATAACATTGGGGTAGTAAGTCGTAACATTTGTATATGTTATATTAAAAATAATAAATAACACTTCCTGACCTTGCATTATAATCAATACTATCTACTTCTTACTTTGGATAATTAGGTCTTTTGAAAATGATTACTAATTACCAGACGCATTTTGAGTATTCATCACAATGTAAAGTAAAAGAGTATTGTTTTTCGCGAACTTAAAAATATGATATTAATGTATCCTACAAGGTTATGCAGTACCTTTATTTCTTACACCTTCAGATTTCTCATAAAGACTTGTTATCCATGGAACTTCACAGTGAAAAGAATCTGGACAACTACATAAGGGAGAAAATCAATTCAGTTGTAAAATTTCAGCTCTTACCTCCCTTACAATGATGTTGACTATTGCTGAGAATATTTTAAAAATGTAATTCAGCATTAGTTATTCCAGTTTACCTGGCTTTCAGATATTGAAATAAATAAAAGAGTTGCCAAAATGCATCTATAAGAACATGATGATCTAATGCCTAGCTTGTGAAAACCTGAGATTATAATTATGGAAGCCCAATGTTAACAGTATTGTTGTGTAGTAAAATGTTAGATGAAAGCATAAGAAGATAACAGTGGACTAGCTTTGTATGTGTGAAATTAATGTATTATTTTTCATGTAGTGTAAAGAAATATTTTTAATTGGAAGGTGGGTGAGTGCACTATTAACAAGAAGTCTTCCCTATTACTTGACACCCTATACCACTAACAGACTTTTTTTTTTTTTTTTAAATGAATAAATTTATAGTTTCCCTGTAGGTAGATTTGTTGTGATGTGATGCAGTAAAATTTTATAAAGACAGACTCTTTATTGACGTGGATCAAGGTTTGTTATTGTTATGATCTGATGTGATGCATTAATAAAGAATGATTATAAAATGTGCTGTTTCCTTTTGGTATTTATCAGTGCTTTTCCTGTTGTGTACCCTGACCTTGATATCTTGTTTCTCTCTCCTAGTGTCCCCGCCCCTCCCCCCCCCTCCAGAATCAGTGCTGTAATATTAAAAACAAATTGCTGATTAATTAACCTTTCAGGTGACTATTTTTTCAGTAATACTTTTTCCCTCCCTTCACGCCCAGTTGTGTAAAATTGAATTTTTCCATTTAGTTTCCTTGAGTTGCACACATTTACATCAAGTAGGGGAAAACTAGGCTACACAAGGTGATAATAAACAAATTAGAAGAAGGAGGTGAGCAGCTCTTGTTAATTTGCAAACTCAAAGGACCAAAGTTGTACACAATGTACACATCCCTCTACCAGACGGTAGTCATGGTTATCCATGAAACTTCCTGCCAATGACGTGAACACAGGGTGCATTCTACAAGCTAGATAGCAATAGAACTTTGTGATCTCACAGGAGTGTCTTCTAGAACTGAGTTTTTGAGGAAAATCCTGTGTTTCTTCTAGACTTTTTTCTCGGGGGGGGGGGGGGGTAGGCTTTCTTCGGAGTGGCGGACACTGTTAAAAGTATATATTTTTTCTATATAAATTATATAAATTTCGTTCGGAAGGGGGGGGGGGGGGGGGGCGGTAAAAAAAATTTCGCCCCCCCCCCCCCCCCCCCCCGAAGAGATGCCTGGAAGAAACTCTGGGAGAATCTGCTCCTCACATTGGCACTAGTTGATTTTGAAAGAAAACCCACTACCAACAACCAATGTAGTCTAAGTTGTGAGGAACTTTTGGAACACCCTGCACACAAAATACATGTTTCACACTAGTTTTTTTTACTCCTAAAAGGAAATGGGCTACACTCGATTATCGATGCAACTGCATCACCTTCTTAGGGGTCGTCCATAAATGACGTCACACTCGTAGTGGGGAGGGGGTCCCTAATTTTGTGAGGAGGGGGGGGGGGTCAGATGATGCGACATCACATTTTTGCATTATAAAAAAGCAATTTTAGAAAACAAATTTTTGACGTTATTTCGCGTTTTAGAAAACTTTTTTTAAAATTCGTAATAGGAATTGTTTAAAATACTCTATGTTGGCAGAGTTCAGACAAGATCTTTGGAAATGTATTGATGTTTTTTAAAAAAATTCAACTGCAATTTTGAGGGGATAGTAGGCTGAGATGTGACGTCATTTTAGGTAGGGGGGGTCTGTCTTTTTGTGACGATGTGTGACGGAGAGGAGGGGATTGTAGAAAAAATGTCACAGGAAAAATAGTCACAGGAAAAAAAGTCAAATTAAAAAGTCACAAATATATATTTGCATGAAATTTGTCAATACTTTTATGTATCAAATATTTAGAGAGTGCAAATTAATTTAGGATTAATGAAATGTAATGTGTGTAGGGTGTATAAGAATAGTAATTTTTATAATTCATCTAAAATTATCTAGTGTGAAGTATGTAGATTGTAATTATGTTAAACATAATATTACTAGCATTTAATAGAGTGCGCCAAAGTCCACGGTTTTCATCGTGTTTTTTTTTTAAATACCAACATTAAATTACAGTGAAATGCTTAGTTCATCTGACTTGCTGCCCTCTGAGTTTCTTCCAGGCACACCCCCCCCCCCCCCCCCCCCCCGAAAAAATTTTACCGCCCCCCCCCCCCGAACGAAATGAAATTTATATAATTTATATAGAAAATATATATAACAGTGTCCGCCCCCCCCCCCCCCCCCGAAGAAAGTCTACCGCCCCCCTCCCCCACGGAGAAAAAAGTCTGGAAGAAACACTGGCTGCCCTCTGCTCATCGCAACAATAGTTATGTTTAGTTCAACCACCTTTACTGCCCACATTTATCATGCTCATTACATAACAAAACTTAAGATCCAAACAGAGAGGCCGACAAGGTTCAAAGGCTGTCATTGACACAAAACGTCACCAACACAAAATATGTTCGGACAATGCCTATTGAGGAGAGACCGACCAGAGAATAGCCATGGCAAAACATATGCAAAACATGTTGCGCCTAAATTTCTTTTAGAATTAACTTTTCTACCGCGTATTTGACTAAATACGTAACAAAAGTTGAGATTGTTGTGTAAATTAGAGTATTTTTACTTACAATTGATATAAACCATAATGCTTTTAACGTCTATAAATAATTTATGCTATAAAAAATACAACCCACAACAATAAACATACAAAATTTTACAATTCTTAACAAATAAATCAAAATATTTCTAAATATATTTTTGTTACTTTTTTCTGTGACTTTTTTTCCGATAAATATTTTCCATTTTGACTTTTTCTGTGACTTTTTTTCCTAGCAAAAACTGACTTTTTTTCTGTTTTTTTTTTCCTGTGACTTTTTTCCGTTCATCGGGGAGGGGGGGGGGGGGGTAGGTAAAAATCGTCAAAAAAAAGCGTGACGTCATTTATGGATGACCCTCTTATCCTAATTTTGGCAGATCGCTTTACATCATTTCGTGAACTGGCTGGCCCAGTTTCAACTTAAAAATAAATAAGACATTGGTCGGTCAATGTGAGGAAATCTTGGCTGGCTAGTTCACGCTTTGGCTGGCCATTTCCCACTTTAGCTGGCGATTGGCTGATCTATACTGACTAAAAAAAATACACGGCTTATGTCCAGAATCTAGAGATGTGCATGCCAACTGCGGTACAAGAAGTAATGTTAACTACTAAATTGCTAAATATTTGCCACATAGCTCTGCAAAATCCCAGTTGCTGTGGATAAAAGTGAGGAAATTATAAAATGCAAATTTTGCACAAAAAATAACCTGTTTTGTTATTTTCCGGTTTGCATAAATATAGGCTACAACATATTTGGTCAAACATCTGTTTAATGCACGTAGCCTAAAATATGACTATCGTCTACCCTAGTAGCATGTAAGAGATCATTCTCAAACCTGAGATACACCAAGAATCGATTGCAAAGATCTTTTACACATAAAGTCAATAGAAACCGATGTTTTAAATTTAAGTGACCTGAATGATGGCACGATCATAAACCACGTTGGAAGTGTTTCTTTCATACTTTTATCTACCGTTGATATTTTCGGGGGGTGGAGGCGACCACTGGTAATAATATACATTTTCTATATAAATTCCATTTTGTTCGGGGGTGGGGGGGGGGGTAGACTGGAAGAAACTCAGCACGTTGTGGAAATGATGCTCAGCTTCAAGAGGTTGCTTACAAAATATCATTATCACCGTCCTAATCAGTAGCGTAGCGAGGTCGGGTGCCGTTGCGACATTTAATGGTGTACCCCCCAGAGGCGTAACGACCTTCCCGGGGACAAACTTTCAAATTTTCGATTTGCACCCCCCCCCCCCTCAAACTTTCGATTTGCACCCCCCCTCAAGTTTTTCTCTATATATTTTGCTCTTTTTTGCCTTGGTGTCACCCCCCTAAATGGTGTCAACCGGTGCGGTCCG